TGGATGTGAGCTGGTACATGATTCTAGAGTGTGTGGGGGCGGGGGGAATCACCCATCAAATACTAACAAAGTGCTTGTGGTTTACTGGACTGTTGTTGCCCTCTTTGGTTATTTAATCCTCATAACAGCCCTTGAGAAACTCTTGTACAGAAAAGGAAACTGAGGAAGGAAAACCCAGTGACTCGCTTAAAGTTAGGTAGCCACCACACGAGGTCTACTTAAATGGCTTCTAACTCTTAGTCTCACTTTGATCCCACTTGTGTCAGTGTTGCAGAATAATGCTTTTTCTGGCCCTCTCGGTACAGGCAGTATTGGTTGAGATGTGCCCTGGAGTGGATTAAACAAATCCCTTAAGCCCCTTTCCTTACAGATTGTTTCATACTCATTCTTCATGCTCAGTTCACTAATGTTGGAGTCACATGTGACTGTTGTCTTTATTCCCTTGGTTTAATCAGGAAAACGAGCTAAAAGAGCTGAAATGATTAGCCTGGCATCATTAGAAGAGGAAAGAATTTATATTCACAGCGACTGTATTTCTAGTCCATTGATTAGGCAATTTTGCTTTTATGAATCAATCGTGATTGCTGTCCTGAATAAAATGGAGAGTTGTTATCAAAAGAAAACACAAATGGTTCACCTTAAATGTAATACTCGCTATGCATAGACCTAAATATGCAATGAGGATTCCTGCTTCCTCTTCCTGTTTTTTTTTTTTTAAGATTTATTTATTTATTTGAAAGTCAGAGTTACAGAGAGAGTAGAGAGGCAGAGAAAGAGATCTTCCATCCACTGGCTCACTCCCCAAATGACCACAATGGGCCAGAGCTGTGCCGATCTGAAGCCAGGAGCCAGGAGCTTCTTCTGGTTCTCCCGCAAGGGTGCAGGGGCCCAGGGACCTGGGCCATCTTCCACTGCTTTCCCAGGTCACAGCAGAGAACTGGATTGGAAGTGGAGCAGCTGGGATTTGAACCGACACCCATATGGGATGGTGGCTTTACCCACTATGCCACAGCGCCGGCTCCCTCTCCCTGGTTTTATTGAAAATTCCTCAAGGACCACTCACCCGGGTTCCCCAGCCCCTGTGGCCGGGTAACTTACCGACAGGCTGGGTCCTGGCATGTGATGCTGTCCTTTGACAACATCATGCCAGAATGCAGGCTAGTGCCCATGCCCACCTCGAATCTCCAATTCCAGTCCAGACGGCAAGGTGATTTTTAGAAATATATATAATTGCCTGTGGAGATTCTAATAGCAAATGCACCAGCAATCTTATCTTTTATTAACATGTTAAATTTTTTCTGAGGGTATATAGAGGTCATTTCAGAAATTGCACATTTTATACTGATTAATCTCTGTGGATTACCTCTTGCTTTAGCAAATATGATAATGTCCAATAATTGCAATTAATAATCATAGAACTTTATTTCACGAGAGGATGTTTTGAAAGCCAGATAATCACTTTTAAGAGGACACCGGACTATTGCATGAGGTGGCATGGAGACAGAAGAAAGAACAGAATGGAGAAATGCATAGTGATAATCACAAGTGCTTAGGGGAGGAAATATTGAAAGGCCAGGGGTTACAGACAAAGAAGATATTGGATTTTAACACTATGGCATTTTAAGGGTTCTACCAGATGTTTCGAGGATTAATTCATTTGACACATATTTATTGTGTACATCCTATACGTGAGGCACAGGGGATTTGAGGTTGTTATTATTTTCTTAACATTCAGATATCTCATAGCCTACAAGAAAAAAACTGGACCGAGAGAGAAACAGAGAGAGAGATTTGATGAACATGAAGAAAACACAGAGAAAGCAGGAAAGAGAAAAAGCAGAAATGAAAGTAGCAGCGGCAGCCAATGCAAACAAAATCCCACTTGCAAAACCCTAAATTTTCCGAAGCAAAATATGTATAATATTTCTGAACTGACATTTTACCCAGTTTCCCTCAGCGAAGACCAGTCATTCATGAGCACGAGCCTATTAAATAAGCTCTGTCCGTGCTTGCCTCTGGCAGGTGCTGTGAGAAACACGGTGAGACTCGGATCCTGTTTTCAAGGAACTTAGACTCGATCCGGCTATTTCAAGTGAATGCAAACATCCTAAGTTACGGACCCAAATCTAAGACAGTGGCCAAGCAAGGGCAGAGTGGCGTTAATTCAGACTGGGGTTGCTTGATAGTTCAAACAGGCCAGCGAAAGAGAAAAGGGACAGTTGATGGAGAAGATGGGCTCCGGGAGACACATCAAGTGAAGCAGAAATTAGTGCCGCGGACCTCAGGCACCAGGAAGGAGAATCTGAGACAGGAAGTGAAGTTTGAATGGACAGGGTACGTTAGGTGGGACTTCTGGGGGTCCCAAAGCTGATACATGTGGAGAGGCCAGGAATGAAGTGGTCGTCCTGCAGCCAGGGGCCGGTGAGGAAGCCAGCCCAGGCAGAGGATTTCATAAAGGACGGGACAAGGGCCCCCAGCCCCGAGGTAAGGCTGTGGACAGCACCGCAGAGGCCTGTGGGAGCTGGTCAGGAAGGCTGCAGAGAGGCGGGCAGTAGATGAGACATTTCCACTAGGGGCTGGTGAGGCCTGCAGTCTGATCCGCTCCAGGAGATGGTGAGAAGGGGGCACTGGGGACGATGCCAGAGTTGCACAGCCGGGGCATTTGTGAGAACGGGAGCAGTCTAATCAAGGTGCTGAGATAAGTGTGTCAGAGCGACTTGTGCTGGGACATGCCTCGGGACAGAAACAAGAACTTCTCCTTCCTCCCTGAACTAGCATTTTACCCATTTTCCCTCCGCAAAGGTCAGTCAAGCATGAACGTGAGCCTATTAAGTAAGTCCTGTGAGTGCTTTTCTCCGGCAGCTACTGTGAGGAACGCAAGGTGGGACTCGGATCCTGTTACCCCTCCCTAGGGTTAGGTCATGATGGCAAAGGGGTGACAGCCAAAGATACCAGCAGGAAACGGGCAAGCTGAGCGGCTTGGGGGCAGGAGACCAGGGGGTGCAGACTAGAGGAGGCAGGATGATCACGGGGACAAAGCAGAACAGAGTTCACGGTCAGGACCCAGACAGACGTGTCTTTGGTGCTCGGGACATGTGTCTGGAAGAGCCCTTCAGGCCTCGAGTCTGTGGATCCGTGTTTGCGTTTGCGCTGCACAAGCAGTGCTTGTCCATTCATTCCTCCTCTGACTCACTCATTCAACGTGTGTGACTTGATCACTAATGTGTACCAGGCTGTGTGCTGGTTGCCAGGGCAGACAGGAACAAGACATGGGCCAAGCCCTCAAGGAGTTCCAAGCCTACAGGGGCAGGCTTAGACACACAGACCTTCAGCCCTGAAAATAGGCACAGTAAGTCCAAGGAAACCGCCTGAAATAGCCATTTGGGCTATTTCTCCAGAAAGGAATCAAACGGAGGCTATGTGGAATTGGAATTGAAGAGGGAGAAGATTTCAAAGCTCTTCCCTCAGGAATTCTCAGCAGGAACTCTGAAAGCAGAGGGTGGCATGACTAAGGGTTAGACATTTGTGTCTCAAAGCTCAACGTATCAGTGAATCCAAGGCTGTAAGGACAGCAGCTTGGGGAAGTTAGCCAGACAGTGGGGTCACCACGGTAGCACCCCCCCCCCCAGGCTGAGATGCAGACTGTGTGCTTTTTCATGGAAGGCCCAACTTGACTCAAAGAAAACTGCCCAGTTATCTTTAGGATACTTCTAAAGACCATTTCTCGGGGTACGGTGTCGTCGTGACATGTAGACTTTCTCTCCATCAGTGGCCACCATAGACAGAAACGAGTCCAGAGAATGAGCTCAAGTCCCATCTCAGAGCTTACCCAGGCGCCATCCTTCTAAGCACCAGGCACGCAACAAGGCCAGCCCCCCAGTGCTTCCGGCATTCCGGCATTCTGCGTCCAGCCCACTGCAGGCATTGTCGTGATAGTGATAGCTCGGAGAGTGTTCCTCCCTAGGCTCTGTCCCCCCTCCCCACCAGGTCTTCCCTGCTCTCCTGGAGAGGAGCCGGAGGTGGGCTTCCCAGAGACAGCCCGACTTCTAGCTACACTGCCCTAGGCTTATTCTAAGAGGCATGGCTCATCCTTATTTATAAAAAGATGGTGCATATTTTCCATGAGTTTTTGCAGTCCACCCTGTGAAGTGCTTGGTACCGTGTCTGCCGTCTAGGGAGTGCTCCATGCGTGATCCCAGGTAGGACGGTGACCGAACTCCCGGGGAGCTCCAGGACTAAACAGAGCTTCCGCGCACATTGCCCAACAGCCAAATACGACACAGGGACTAAAATCCTAACTTCATTAAGAGGGAGAATCATGTCAAGGGACCTCCACAGCACAGTACAGGTCACAGAGCAGCTCTGACCCCCGTTTATTTGCCCTGCTAGTTTTCTGAGTAATCCAACAACACAAGCAAGAATGTACTCCCGCCCTCCTCCCCCACGGACCCCCCCCCCCCACATACACACACACACACTCATCTGCACATACTGGAAGACAGATGTGCTGGCAGCTGGGCAGGTGGGATCATGACTCCCCATAGGTAAATCCTGCCCAAGAAGCCCTGTAGGAGACCCTACAAAGGAAAGAGTTTCTTTGCCAATGGAGATTTTATTTTGTAGTTTGCAAAAGGTAAGAGGATCCTTCTGGCAAATTTGTTTTTTCTTTCAAGCTCACACTTTAAATGTAGGACACTGAATGGCCAGCACCTTAGCCTTGGCCCTGGTGTCTGGGGTATGGTGCCAGCACCAGGAGTTCGAGTTTCTGCCCAGTAGGCTTGTAACCTGAGCTTTCTGTTTCTAAAATCCCAGTTCAGAGTGGCCGACACAAATTCTGGGCCACAAAATTCTGAGAATGATTGCACTTGTCAGCTGCTAAGTCACATGCCCTTCGGCCTGCTCCCTCCTAGTGGATAATAGTACTTCTGTTAGAGTCTATGAATTTCACTGTCATATAAAAACCGGCGTCCCTAATAATACCACCCAAGGCTTACCATCATCACCCAGAAATACACCGTCAGGCCTGTCATAATTAATCAATTTTCAGGATTCCTCAGGGTTTCCAAATACAATGACTACCAGCAAATTAATAGATACTTTGGATCATCCCATTTAACTTCATCAAGGAACTGACCCCATGATGAAAATGTAGTTTAATTAGGATAATAGCTCATATTTAAAGCGTGCCTCCAAGCAAGGAAGCCCACAAATTTGGTCTCTTATTTTTCAAAGCAGCACCACATGGCACTGAGAGCAACTTGGAGTGAGCAGGCATGTTGAGGCCCACATTAGGATGAGAAGAGCTTGCTGCCTTTGACAGGTAAGTGGGGGGGGGGGGCGGGGGGCGGGGGTGTGAACCCAGAGTTCTGGATTCACCCTTCAATATTGCCTTTATTTGCTGAATGTGGGTCTTCGAGCTACCAGCAACACCCAGCCATATGTGGGATGAATTGTTTCTGAGCACATGTTGAATAGATAGGGTATCCTTGTACAGGGCAAAGCCACAAATAGATATAGGTCGTGGAATGCTGGAGTAAGCAAATATAGGCTGTAGCTTGTGCTCAGCGGCGCTGGGCTCCCCTGCCGAGCTCCATGCTGCTGCGTTAACTGGTCTGTTTGGGAGCCCGTTTTTTTTTTCCTCCTAGGTTCAGTGGCATGATAGTACAAAGAGCCTTGTGTTACGGTCTCAACACTACTATTTATACCCTGTGACCCATTAAGCACTGAGTCCTTGGTTGGGGTTCTCCCAACATCTCAAGAGAGAGAGGGAAAAAAAAGGGAGGGGGAATAGCCTGACTGGAAAAAAAAAGTGGTTCTCATTTACAATACTCGAGTCAAGAATTTGGAAACATGACCCCAGCCAAAGCCTTGGGAGCCCTGGTATCAAATGTTGTTATTTTTGGGTCGCTTGAAAATCAGGCTGGCCGGGGAGTGGACAAGGTGCCTGAGTGGCTGTGGCAGGAAACAGGCGGCCGGGGGTGGGAGTGGGGGTGGGGAGATGGCAGGAGAGGGTCCTGGGCCAGGCCTCGGAGGCCAGCTGGTGGAACCGGAGAAGGCCACCTCCGCTCCACAGGTCCCCGCCTCCACCCCACGGGGATGAGACGCGTCCACACCTCCCTGCTCCCAAAGGGACCTGGCACTGTTTTCCTCCAAAATACGCTGGGGAATGAAGCTCTGTCAGGCTTACCCCTCCCCCTCCACTTGTTTTTATTTAACTAGATGGTATTTCCCACGGCTGTGGGCTGCCTCCCCCATTTTGGGAACAAGGGGCCACTGAGATATTTTTATGCTCTGCCTGCCTGTGGTGAAAGGGAATCCTGGCTTAAGATATCACCGGTAGGGTAAAGCGTCCTTCCAACCCTGCAGAGTTGTGTCAGAAGTGAGGCAGTGCCCATGTTTGGAAACACAACTCACTCACCCTGTCGCTCTGGGTCTCCCTTCCAAGCCAGTCTGTCGTACCCACCCCCCCACCCCCAGCCCCTCACGCCCCGACACACACACCCTGGCTCAGAGGCCACGCGGTCAGCTGCTGTGTCATGGACTCCTGGTACATATTTAAAAATTATTCTAGGAGAGCATGAGGGATACCTAAGATATCAAATAAACGCTCTGAAAATACACTGGTGTGAGAGGCAGGAAGCCTACACTATTTTTGCAATATTCACGTGCCCTCAGAGTTACCTTAAATGAAAAGGTCTGTAAAATATTTAGACTCAGTTTCTCACTGGGAAAAAAACAAATCAATGCACAATGGCTTATGAACCCTGCAAAATCTAAAGTCGTCTATTTGGGGCATGAGTTTCAAGTTTTTGTGCCTCCAGCGCTGCCTCTCGCCTGTCTGGCCACCCAGGCCTCTGCGTACCCAACGACTCTTCCCATGGTTCTGCCTGTGCTCTCAACTGCTTCAAGTATCAGCTTCTCCACACAGCTTCCCTCACGCCCCTCTCTCCCAGCCCCGGACCACTGTGTGTTGCGAAACTTGCTTTTCAATTTCATTTATTTATTTATTTGATAGGCAGAGTTACAAAGAGGAGGAGGAGAGACAGACAGACAGAGATCTTCCATCTGCTGGTTTGGCTGTAGTAGGGCTGATCTGAAGCCAAGAGCTTCTTCCAAGTCTCCTATGTGGGTACAGGGGTCCAAGCATTTGGGCCATCTTCTGCTGCTTTCCCAGGTGCATTAGCAGGGAGCTGGATCAGAAGTGGAGCAGCCGGGTTTTGAACCAGCACCCATATGGGATGCCGGCATTGCAGACAGAAGTTTAACTTGTTACACCACAGCGTTGGCCCCACTCTTCATCTTCTAAAGGGTGTGTTTCTCATTCTCTTAAGATATAGCAAGATCCTGAAAGCAAATGCTGTCCTGTTGGTCCTTGACACCTCCCAGGTCATTCCCAAAGTGCCTGCCCTGGTCGACGTCTGTGAGACATGGGGCCATGCCTATGCCTGCTAAGTGCATAACCCTGTCTAAGGAAACCACCCACCATAGGTTCTGCTAAGGGGGACAGCCCCAGCCCAGTTCAGTGGGTGAAGGCAGGACAAGAGGCATACAATGTGACGGGGGCATATATAAAACAGCATCTAGTCCAGTTGGGTGGTCGAGGGGGAAGAAATGTGTGGTTTGGGCCTGGGTGGGTAAGAAGAGTGAGCAAGTTCTCGAGATCATTAGTGGAAGCAGCAGGGGACTGCTGCAAGCCAGAGACAGCACTGCACTCTAGAAGTTGGGGAATGTATGCGATTGAGTACAGGAAAATGGTGAGAAGCTTGGAAAAGTAGCAGACCTAGATTCTACACGTTCTTCTAAACCAAATTAGGGAGTTTCACTATAAGGACAATGGGAAGGTCTGGCTGGTTGTGTCCAAAGCAATATGGCTGACCTTGTGGTCCATGCATGTTTGTAAATCAATACAGAAACATTCACCATCAGATATCCATGGCCGAGGATTCTGGTGACTGACTTCTGCTGGAGTGTGTTAGCTCATGTGACATGTTTCCACTTGGTGAGTCCTGCAAAGTATATTGACATAAATAAGTTATTTTTCCTTAGTTATTTTGCCCAGAGCTTAATCCTCATCGAAATGGACTTTCCATGAGTACAGGACAAGCGTCTTCACTCAGACGTGAAGAACAATGTGTCGCCCACTCTTTAAAAGGCTTTCTCGTCTCTTTAGTAAGAAGGTTTGGCTTTTTCCCTCAGTCTCCCAGAACTTTGAATAGAGCCCCAAACTTATACTCCCTGGCATACAGAATGATCAGACATTTTCCAGTACATTCTGGAAAAGACGTTTTGTGGTGTAAAAGGAATTAATTTAAGAGGCAAAAATTTTTAGCAAGTAATATATTTTCTGCCTTCAAGATGAGCCGTATGAGTCTTCTTGGGTTTTAACTTAACCATCATCTGGGACAGGGATGGAGCACTTTTTTTTTCTGCCATTTGGCTGTTTATGACATCATTTGCAGGCCATACAATATTATCAACTTAATAATTAGCTTAAGGGCCGGCATTGTGGCTCAGCAGATTAAGCCACTACTTATGAGGCCAGAATCCCATAAGGGGGCCAGTTTGAGTCCTAGCTGCTCTCTTACCCATCTAGCTCCCTGCTAATTGCCTGGAAAAGCACTGGAGCATGGCCCGAGTGCTGGGGCCCCTGCACCCATGTGGGAGACCCAGAGGAAGCTCCTAGCAACTGGTTTTGGTCTGTCCAGCCTTGGCTGTTGCAGCCATTTGGGGAGTGAACCAGTGGATGGAAGATCTGTCTCTCCCTCTCTTGCTGTAACTCTTTCATATAAATAAATATTTTTTAAAAATAATTAGCCTGCTATAGATTTATTGAATTTCAAGTCCAGCCTGCGGTAGCCTTGGCAGGGTCAGACCAAATGATTTTGCACAGCCCATGGCCAGGCATTCTCCACCCCTGGCTGGGGTCAGGAACCTAGTGTAGACTGGCTAACAGATGTATTCCTTAGAGAGCAACTTTTTTTTTTTTTTTTTTTTTTTTACAGAGACCCAAACACGTAGGCCATTTTCTGCTGCTTTCCCAGGTGCAATAGCAGGGAGCTGGATTGGAAGTGGGGACTCTAACGGATGACTATATGGGATGAGGGCATCACAGGCAGCGGTCTAGCCTGCTGCTCCACAGCACCGGCCCCAGAGAGCAATGTTTATAGTGGTAAGAGGTGTACTACAGTTTTACATCGACACAATTCGCCAGAGATCTTCTCTCCCTGACTCAAACGTTTTCTCTTCAATGCCAGTTTGTAAAGTTTTCCTAAAATTTCTGTTTTGGATTTGGCTCTTTTGACTGATTCTCAATGGGAGAGTACCGCTCTTAGGAGACAAGATATTGGTTTCTTCAAAGACTCACTGTTCTTATTCCCATCTGGAATCAATATACTTGACCTCTTTCTGTGCACGCCAAAAATATAAAGTCTTTATATTGTAGTGTATGTGATTTCCTTTGGAAGGAGAACTTACACAGCTCTATCTATGCCTCTCTCTCTCTCTCTTGATAACTTCCAATGCCAAGAATTGGTTTGTAGCCAATGCAGGAGCAAGGCGGAGTTTCGAAAGAAAGGCAGGAGTACAGGTACTCTCCCATACACCTGCAGGATGAGGGGTTATGTTCAAGACTGTGTCTAGACTGTGCATGTTAGCCCCCAATTCCTGATTTGGAAACACCTGCCACTTCTTGGTGTCAATGAGGTCTGGGATGACCCCCTAAGAGGTAAACAGCCTAACTTTGGAATCCTCTGTGTGCCTGAAGCATCCTTTCTGAAATCTGTGCATTGTTTCAATTTTAATTTATCAAGGTAAAGCCAAAGCTGACACCAGCAAAAATGAAACTCCATTCTTTAAAAAAAATCTTCCACAGTTACTAAGAACACTTCTTTCTGCAGCGCTGAGTAGTGGGAGGGTGGAAGTCAGCAGTGCCCCTTCCCTGGGCCCCTGGCAGGTTCCAGCGCCCTCAGAGGGCTCCCTCTACTGAATGTCTGAGCATACGGCCTGCAAGCTCCAGAGGCGAAGTCCAGGAGAGGTCGGGTGCTGTGAGGCTGAGAGCAAGGGCAACGCCTCAGACACGGGTTTTCTCGGTGGGCCTGGAATACCCACTGTCTCGTGGACATGCTGAACCCCCTTCTATCTCCTCCGGTTGCCCCTCTGCAGATGTTAACATCCACTCCCTGTTTCCTCCACTCCCTGTCCCTGCTGTCCCCTCCACCAAGCCTCCCAGATGGGCCAGGCAGGGCAAAAGGACTTTCCACTCCCACAGGTGGTCTGTGTCCTTGTGACTGACCCTGTGACCCTGTCACATTCACTTCCAGGTGGTGTTTGGAAAATAAGCTACAGTTGTTCTTGGAAGTCAGATAATCATGCCAGTAGCTTCGGGTCACTGGGTGGCACCTGGTAAAATCTGGGTTCTGAGTCAGGCGGCCTGGATGGGGCCTGAGAATTGGCATTTCCAGCAGCCCCGGCGGTGCAGTGCTGTCACTGCTGTGCTGGGGCTCCCCTTTCAGTGGCAGGGGTAGGTCTTGAAGTTTTTGAGGGTCAAGGGTGTGTCTGATTTGACTTTGTATCTTCCATGCTTAGCACTGCATCTGGCACACAGTGGGGCTTCGGAATGGAGGGAAGGAAGGAGAGCAGGTTATAGGTCTTCTACTGAGTATGCCTTCCCAGTTCTTATTACTGGCCACATATTAACACCCAAGAGAGGCACAGGTGAAGCAGAGGAACAACAACGCTACTTGGTCAGTTTTTCTTTTTACCAATTTATTTATTTTGACCCATTTGAAAGGCAGAGCAATGGAGAGAAACAGAGATATCTTCTATCCACTATCTATCACTCCACAAGGCTTACAACAACCAGAGATGAGTCAAGCCAAAGGCAGGAGCCAGGAAACTCCTTCCCAGTCTCCCATGAGGGTGGCGGGATCCACTCTACCAAGTCAGTCTTTTTAAGGGAAGTTTTGCGCTAAGTGTTTGATGCAGCAATCAAGTTGTCTCATAGGAGGCCCACATTCCGTATCAGAGGGCCTGGTTTGAGTCCCGGCTCCTCCATTTCTGATCCAGCTTTCTGCTAATGAGCACACTAGGAGGCAGCAGATGCTGGTTCAAGTGTCTGCATCTCTGTCAACCACATGGGAGACCTGGATGGAGTTCCAGGCTCCTGATTTTAACCTGGCCCAGCCCTGGTAGTGTAGGCATGTGGGGGGAAAACCAGCCAAATACAAGATCTCTCTCTGTCTTTCAAATAGCATGAAAATAAAGAATAAACAATGAAATGTTTTAAGATTGTTGAGAGAGAGAGAGAGAGAGAGGGAGGGAGAGAGAGAGAGGGAGGGAGGAAGGGAGGGAGAGGGAGAAAGAGAGAGGAAGGGAGAGGGAAGGAGTGAGGGAGAGAGAGAGGAAGGGAGAGGAAGAGAGAGACAGAGGGAGGGAGAGGGAGAGAGAGGGAGGGAGAGGAAGAGAGAGACAGAGGGAGGGAGTGAGGGAGAGAGAGGAAGGGAGAGGACGAGAGAGACAGAGGGAGGGAGAGGGAGAGAGAGGGAGAGGGAGAGAGAGGGAGAGGGAGAGAGAGGGAGGGAGGGGGGAGAAGAAAGAGGGAGAGATTCTTCCTAGCATATTCACAGCTGTGCTTGCAGGCCTCAGGCTGGCTTCCAGCCTGGCAGATTCCTGTGAGATGCCAGAGTTCTCTCATAGGTTGGGGCGCTCGGCCGTGCCCACAGGCCCCGGTCACTGCAACAAGGAGGTGTTTGATTAGACGCTGCTTTCATCTCAAACTCACTGCCCGAGCGGTGCGGCCCCAGGTCCCTGGAGACCACGTGATGGACAGCCTTTCCTTCAGAAAGGGGTGGAGCTTTTCTCTCCTCGGAGTTCCTAGGAGAGCCTCCAGACCTTCAGCTCTTTTCAGCTCCGCTCCTCATTTACAAGACAAAAGCCGAAAATGCTTGATCTGTAAAACACGTCGAACCCAGAGCAAGCTGCCTCCGTGCAGGGCCAGCCCAGCCAGGTACCTTTCATCTGAGCCAGCGAGGCAGGAGGAGGGTGTGTGCGTCACAGGGAGGGCGAGGCCAGAGATGAGAACTTGGGTCAAAATTCATCAGTACCGTTTTCCGAAACAAATGCATCCTAAATAAGCATGATTTTTTTTTTCTAGGAAGTGAGCGTAATCCCAAACCTTTTTAAAAATAGAAAAAAGGAAAAACATCACATCCTACGTTAATACCCATTGAGCTAAATGCAACTCTTAATAACTTCCACTTCTCTTTTTTCTTTCTGTGAGCGTCTTCATGTGTGTGCTAATTTTTCACATGTATTATGTGTCATTTCATATGGTACTGTTGAAATGTAACATTGTATCTGTCATCAGTATTTTCCACTCATAATCATAATTTTCACTTCCTGCACAATAACTCATTGGATGGCTATAATAGTTTATTAACTCAGTTACGAATGCAAGTACATGTATAAAGCATTTAAATTGTTTTGAAAGCTTTACAAATATAATTGTACAAAAATATAATTTAGGAAGTGCCTATTTGCACATGCATATAGAATGCTACATTATGTAATGAGCTTGAAATCCATAATAGATATATTGGTCCAGATATTTTTAAAAAGATACATAACAGATGACATCATACAAGCATTCAACAAACGGTCTCTAAGAAGTAATCAGGGAAGAGAGAAAAATGAGGCTTGTCAGCCCATGCCAAGGAGAGTGTGAGGCAGCTAGGAGCCACTCCCCTGGTTCTGTGACTGGGAACCAGTGAGTGAGCCTGCCTGCAACCCAGCCTCCTCACAAAACCTTGGTAACAGAAGCTACCTCAAAGCACTCTGGCTGAATGGAATGCAGGAAAGCCCTGGGGACCTTGACTCCCGGTGTGAGCTCTCAGTAAAAGTTAGAACACTCACCACCCGCAACCAGAGTGGCCAGGGACATTGCGATTCTTGTCATCCGGAGCTCAGATTCGGCTAAGTGTAGACATGAAGAAGTTATTCATGAAGCAAACAGACTGTTAGATAAAATATGCCCCCTCCTTCCAGTTTAACAAAAATAAATGCACTTCAGAAGGCTGCTGGGAAAACAAAATTAAAAAAATAAGTTTATTTTGGTGCAAAAAATTTTGAAATCCACACAGGAATTTCATAATTTTGCATTTTTGTGAACATTTTAAGACCCCTCACGTGCATTAATTTTAAAAACTTTGTAGCAAAATGAATTATCTTTTTAATTCTATTTTTAATTAAATTCCTGGAGTATCCTCATATTCCTTCATGATAAAAAAAAATAATAGAAAATACGTGTAGGGGCTGGCGCTGTGGTGTAGCTGGCAAAGCCACCACCTGCAGTGCCGGTATCCCGTATGGGCGGCGGCTCAAGACCCAGCTGCTCCACTTCCAATCCAGCCCTCTGTTATGGCCTGGTAAAGCAGTGGAAGATAATCCAAGTCCCTGGGCCCTTGGGCCTGTGTGGAAGACCCGGAAGAAGCTCCTGGCTCCAGGCTTCTCAGCGGCATAGCTCTGGCTGTTGTGGCCATCTGGGGAGTGAACCAGCAGATGGATGACCTTTCTCTCTCTCTCTGCCTCTTCTTCTCTGTAACTCTGTCTTTCAAATAAATAAATCTTTTAAAAAAGAAAAGAATAAAAAATATGTGTAAAGCTGAGTATGACTGCGGAGGAATATAACTGAAAATTATAGAACTATTGAGGAGAAAGGGGTCTAATCATTTGCGAGCCTGTGAGATTTGGTTCTGCTATCAATACGTGTATGAGCAATAAGAATAAACACACATAAATTGAATAATTACCATGTATCTATTAATAATTCTCTTTTTTAGTAAAATCACCAATTATATCCTTAAATATCAAAATGTTCACATAATCTGTTCCATTGATAGCTACACTCTAAGGATTAAAAAAGTGTAATTATATTAAAGTATATATTATATATATATCAATTTTTTTAAGATTTATTTATTTATTTGGAAGTCAGAATTACACAGAGAGAGAAAGAGAAGCAGAGAGGAGAGAGGTCTTCCATCCACTGGTTCACTCTGCAGCTGGCTGCAACAGCCGAAGCTGCGTTGATACGAAGCCAGGAGTCAGGAGCTTCTTCTGGGTCTCACGTGTAGGTGCAGGGGCCCAAGGACTCGGGTCATCCTGCACTGCTTTCCCACGCCTTAAACAGAGAGTTGGGTCAGAAGTGGAGCAGCCAGGACTCGAACCAGTGCCCATATGGGATGCCGGCACGGCAGGCAGCAGCTCTGCCTACTACACCACAGCACCTCCCCGCATAATTTCTTTTGTGGTGTGCAACTCCTCCTTCCAAATGTCATCCTCCATGCTTTCTCCCTGGCTTTCTGTGAATCTCTTCTAGAGCATTTTTCCCTATTTTACCCGGCCTGGATGCCCTGACCGGGCCTGTGCTGTGTGGACATTGATTGTTATAAAAGTAAAGGAAGGGCCCTCCTTTTCTCCCCACGAGGGCCAATGCTGAAAATTGACAGCTACCCTGAAACAGGGCTGCCTCTCTGGAGAAAAGTCTAGTGACAGAGATCAGAGGTGCAAAAGCCCAGAGGAAGAGCACTGGGCCCCAGTGCAGCTCAGTGCCCTGCTGTGTTCATTAACAATTTCTTTGAGTCTCACCCTTTTTTCATTATCTCTGCGGCTGAACCAGCTTTGCTTTCTGCCAGAAGCCTCCTGACATTTATCAGGGGAACAAGGATCCAAGAAAGAAGGGGAAAGCGTGTCTGAATATCAGTGGTTATTTTGGTAGCCTGTGCAGTGGTGTAATGATATCGCCGTCTGAGAGCTGGGGCTCGCGGCCCTGGGGCGGAGGGCAGGCCCGCAACCTGAGCCGCCTGGCAAGCAGGGTCAGACTCTGCAGAGCCCAGCCCCGGGCCCCAGCACCCTCAACCCCAGCCCCATCTCACCCCCAGCCTGGAGGAGTGGCCAGTTTACCAGTTGCTTGCGAAAGGGTGTCAGGTAATCCAGAAAGCCTGATCTCTGATTTTTTTCTGTTTCTATGTTCAGTATGGCTTGTAGTTGATTCCGAAGCTAGCTTATGCTGTATTTTTAGAAGGCCCTTCCTTACCCTGGGTTAGCCTGGGGTTAAGTGCTGGCTCTGCTTCTGGTTCCAGCTTCCTGTTAACAGGCACTCTGAGAGCCAGCAGGTGTGCCTCAGGCGGTTGGGTTCCTGCCACCTACATGGGAAATCCACATGGAGTTCCAGGCTCCTGGCTTCAGCCTGATCCAGCCCCAGCTGGTTGCAGGCATCTAGGGAGTGAACCAATGGATGGAGGATCTCTGTTGCTCTCTCTGCCTTTCAGGTGAATAAAATAAAAATAAAAACATACATAAATAAGTGACAGTTAGTTTACCGTTTGAATGTCATCATTTCAATACTTAGTTTGTCTTCCTATAGGTTGAGGCAGTGACCTCAAAGTAGATCTACATGAAATTGCTTTTAAAAAATTATTATAGGGGCTGGCCTTGTGGCATAGCAGATAAAGCCATCATAAAGCTATCATGCTGGCATTCTATGTTGGCACTGGTTTATATGTTGGCTGCTTCACTTCTAATCCAGCTCTCTGCTGTGGCCTGGGAAAGCAGTGGAAGATGGCCCAAGTGCTTGGGCCCCTGCACCTTCGTGGAAGACCTGAAAGAAGCTGCTGGCTCCTGCCTTCAGGCTGGCCCAGCAGCCATCTGGGGAGTGAACCAGCAAATGGAAGATCCCTTTCCCTCTCTGTCTCTCCCTCTCTGTCTGTAACTTTGACTTTCAAATAAATAAATAAATATTTTTAAAAATTATTATAAATTGGCTACTTATAATTGTATAAGGTCTACCTTAGGTTTTAAGTCCTCTCTTTGCAAGGCATGTTTTGGGGTGCGTTGCTTATGTTTATTATGATTAAATAACCATTTCCTATAATATCACTATACTTTTTTTTTTTAAAAAGATTTATTTATTTATTTGTAAGGCAGAGTTACAGAGAGGCAGAGGCTAGAGAGAGAGCTTCCATCCACTGGGTCACTCCCCAGATGGCTGCAATGGCCGGAGCTGAGCTGAACTGAAGCCAGGAGCCAGAAGCTTCCTCCAGATCTCCCACATGGGTAGGACTTGGACCATCTTCCACTGATTTCCCAGGCCAAAGCAGAGAGCGGGATCAGAAATGGAGCAGCTAGGACTCGAACCGGCACCCATATGGGATGCTGGCGCTGCAGACTGGGGCCTTAACCCACTTTGCCACATCACTTGCCCCTAACATCATTATGTATTTATTTTAGGAATATAAAGACTGGCAGGGGGGCAGGGAGAAAGGGAAGAAACTAAATGTATGGTCCAACTGGAAGATGATAAATCACTTTAGCAAATCTCTCTGGCGAGCCCACTGTGGGCCTGATACTCTGGCGGTGCTGAGGTCGGTGGTGCAGCTTCTTCCAAGCCGCTCATGATCTAGGAAGGAAGAGAAATCCAGTTGGAGGATGACTGGCATTGAAGAGGGATTTGGGCAAAGTGATTGGAAAAGTGCAGTTCCAGCTGTGTGTAGCTATGTGTGTGCATCAAGGAAAGCTGCCCGGTTGACATGTTTGCAAGGAAGAGAGTGAGCAGACCACCGAAGCCAGAAAACACTGGCAGTGCCCAGAGCCATGGGGTAGAAGCCCCTTTGATCCCAGCCATGCTGGATAGAGTTTGGGTCTGGGATGCAAGCGAGAGACACATGTGCTTCATTTGGGAGGCACGGGGGGAGCATGGAAGTTTGTAAACAGGCGGGGGGTATGAGGAGAGCCTCGTTTAGGAAGTTAAATCTGGCAGCCGTGTGTATGACAGATTAAAGTCACAGAAGTAGGAGATAAAGAGGCCTGTCAGAGGCATTTGGCATCTTAACATGGGAGAAACGAGGGCCTGAGCTATAAGGAAAAATAGGACACGGAGCCCAGGCCTCCGGACTCGACTTGTAAAGCGAGAGCTGTTAAGACTGGATGCTACTTCTGCTCCTGCCCGTGTTCGTTTATTGTGGTTTCTCCCTTTCCTGTACGCCTAGTGCCTGACATGCTTGCGTGGGCCCTGGAAGGAACATGATTAGGAGGACTCCGGCCCCAGGTAGGACCTCCCATAGGTACCACTAGGATAGCACGATGGGCAAGGGAAGGCCTGACCAGAAACACAGGCTTGTTGTTGACTGAAAGTGAATACCGTAATACAGTAAGGAATACCAGAAAATTCTAGTGAACTGAAACAGTGGGGGAAGGGGGGCGGAATCAATATGCACGTGGCAGTGCCAAAGCCCTCGCAGGCAGGAAAGTTGAAGTACCTGGATCGGTTTGAGCCCACATTCTGTGTGAGGCCTCACTCTGTCAGTCAGGAGGATGGGGCCATGCCAGAGATATCTGAGTAACTTTGGCATGAGGTTGGATTCCTGGAAATGAGTGTGAGGGTGCAGTGTGCATGCTGGGTGTTTACAGGCACTGCCTGTCTAGGACAGGCACCTGTCACAGAATGGAGGACGCAGAACTGGGGACAGGGAAGGGCTCAACAGTGAGGCAGCTGTGATGGAGGCCTCAGTCCATCAATCCCATAGGAAACTTTAGAGTGAGGACAGACTTTTCGAGTTGGTCCCAGCTGAGGATAGAAGACAGGGGTTTTGCATCCTGCACGGGCCAATCACTGGATTGGGACTGCTCCCGGGAAGGGGGCGTAACCTTGGTCAGCTGGCTCCCATCAGACAAGTGCAATTGCTGTAGCAGATCTCAGCTGTGAACACTCAGTAGCTGACCCTCCTGGCTGCTGGAGGAGTGAGGCTCCAGTTCTGAAGGCAAGATCTGACAATACCATAGCATCTACAGCATCATCCGCTTTCTGGAGACTTGCTTCGTCTCTCCTGACAATTTTGGGGGAGAGGCCAGCAGAGGGAGTGTCATTATCTGCAGCTCTGAGCTCATCAAAGCTGAGAGGGCAAAAGCCAGAGTGGAGGGGGCATGGGGAAGGTGAGATGGACAGCCTAATGGGAGGTAATTGAGGGTAGTGGTAAGTGTAAGGGCCTGCTGTCTGTTAGCGTGGTCTTCGGTCTGCCACTTGCTAGCAGTGTGACCTTGGGCAAATGAGTCATCTCTTTGTCCCTCACTTTCTTCATTTCTCATTTAGGGACAAGAATAGGACTTACCTCATAGAGTGGTGGTGAGACCAAATGAGATAATGCATGCAAAGTCCTTAATAAGTAGGCTTCAGGAGAGGGTGGCTTCTAGTACAGTTCTGTTGTTAATACTTAGGATAAAACTGTTTCCACCTGGAGAAATATCTTGGGCAGATATTGGGAGCCGAAGTCCCAATCCAAAAAGTCTAAGAGGGAGAGAGGTCAGATCCAACACAGAAGCAAGAGGTATGTGTTCATGCAGGGTGGGACCCCAACACATGCCCAAGAGAGGGGATACTTCCCCTGGACTTTCTCATGTTCTTGACTGCATGAAGTGGCAGAAGCAGCCCTATTTAAAAAGCCAAGCAGGACACAAAGTACATTTCTGGTGAGAAAGTTGCCTTCTTCATTTCTTTTTCCATTGAGTTTTCTTGACCTTAGATTCCAAGTCCTGACTTTGCTGCCTAACAACCCCCACATGTGTGGCCTTGCACAAGTCACACAACGTCTCTGACCATCCAACAGGTCCTTCATCTATAACATCAGATGAGGATTGCCTGGTGTTCATTGGTGGTTGTGAGATTCAGATGAGAAATTATATTTGGAAGTGGTTTGCAGACTAAAAAACACAAAGCAGATGTCACTTTATTGGGATTCTTTTGTCTGTTGCTTTTGTTGTTTGGGATGTGAAGGTGATAACCAACAGAAGCTGGAAGGGACAACCAGAGGTTAATGAACAAAAGGGAGCCATCTGAAAACGGTCGCTGCAATAGCTTTCCCGAGTAAAGATGATACTCTCCTCTGTCCTTCCTGTACCAATGGCCCTGTCTAAAGACTTTAAGATTGGAAGAGATATAAGAAAGAATCAGAAATAATCCATTCCTCAAGGTAGTCATGGCACATCTGTTTGGTTCTGTGTGTTCGATTCTATTTCCTTAGGGAACAAAAGAGTCCCCCTATTGTAAATCACCCATCTAGAGCTCTCATGGGAATGAGAAGCTCCTGCTGAGTGTATGGCACCTGAATTATTGCCATCGTAGCCATCAGCAACCTGACCAAGTAGCATGCCTCTGGGGTGGTGGTATGCAAGTGTGACACACACCCACATGCATTTAACTTCTTAACCACATTGGAGCTAGAGAGAGGGTTCTTACCAGGAGCAGAAGTGTTAATTTTTAATTAATTCATACACTTTTCTTTTAATTTTTTTTGAATTTCTTAAAAGAACTGCACTTGATGGTCCAAAAATTTGGAAGGTTTTCTTTTGACATTTAAATCTGAACTCTAACTAACCAGATTTGATTCTTATGCTTTGTGTGAAGTAGGGATAGAATGTTTTCCCCCGTGTGCATATGTTCTTTCAAAGCAGAAGACATTTCTAAGTGACAGAAATGTGAATGTGTTGGTAGAAAGGACATCAAGAGAAAACAGCAGTGGAATAGAGATTATAGGAGGTTTGTAAGAACAGGCATTTTCAGAGTTTATGAGGATGAAACCCTTTAAGCCGGGATGAAATCATGGATGTTCCTTGCTGCCCCCTCCCTCTTGGCATGTGTAATTTTCAGTCTAACTCAGCTTCTATATTGACTGGCGGTGAGGGAGAACATTTATATAAGAAATGATATGATATGCACTTGTATGGGAACTGTGCTATTAATTTGTTCATTTACCTTAAAAGCACCAACCAAGCATCTGGTACTAGCATACCACTAAATCCCGTTTCCAAAAGCTTGAACTACAGAAGGTGTAAATTAGTACTTTTTATGTGAAAGGCAGAGAGAGAGAGGAGAAATCTTCCATCCATTGGTTCATTCCCCAATGTTTTCAACAGCCAGGGCTGGACCAGGCCAAAGCCAAGAGCCTTTGGAACTTAATCTGGATCTCCCCTATGAGTGTCATCAGGGACCCAAGTACTTGAGCCATCGCTTAACCTGCTGTGCTATGATTCCAGCCCTTAAATTTCTGTCTTTGTCCATATATCAATCAGTCTCTATGCATCCAGCAATTTGTCCATTTACCTACCTACTGTCTATGCATTGATCCATCTATATATTCATCTGACTAGCTCCCTTCCTACCAGAGTAGGTAGAATGGGTGGTGGGAAGAACATTGGAGAAGATTTGAGGCTACTTGGATGCAGTCAGATCCCACGCTCATCCCCAGCCAGTTGCCTAACACCAAGGCAGTTACTTCATGTAGCAGCAAACCACTTTCCACATCTGTGAAATGAGAGATTTGGACTTAATGCTTTTTTAAAGCATGGTTCGGATCTTCCAGGATTTCCTACTGACCTGATTTTTCGGTCTTGTCTCCTTTAAGACTGCTTTATTCACTGTGAGGTAACGTGGGTCACATTTGTATGCCTAACTCTTACACCCCTTTGTTCTGTTGGTTAGTCTTCTTTAACTGCAATGGAGAAAAACACAATCAAAATCACTTAGGGAAGCATAGACTTGGCTTACACAGCTGAAGGACTGGGTGGATTACAAATAGAGCAGAAGGAGTAACTGTTAGCAGAATCAGGGCCTCTGGATTGGAAGTCGGAAGTGTGGATTCTTTTTGTTGTTGTTGTTGTTAAAGATTTATTTATCTGAAAGGTGGAGTTACAGGTGGAGAGAGGCAGAGGCAGGCAGGGAGCTTCCATCCACTGGTTCACCTCCTAAATGGCTGCAGTGGCCAGGGCCAGACTGAAGCCAGGAGCCAGGAGCTTCATCCGGATCTTCCACGTGGGTGCAGGGGCCCAAACACTTGGGCCATCTTCTACTGCTTTCCAAAGTGCATTAGCAGGGAGCTGAATTGGAAGTGGAGCAGTGGGACTCAATATGGGATGCTGGCACCACAGGTGGCAGCTTAATCTGCTAGTCTACAGTGCTGGCCTCAGAAGTATGGATTCTAAGTGGCCATATCTCATTCTCCACTCACACTTTACTTATAATTTTCTGATTTTCTCTGTAGAACTCATTCCTCTGCACTGCACAGAGGCCCTGTCCACACAATGGACAACCCGGCTCCTGGCAGCCCCAGTAGAAGAGTGCTTTCTCACGCGGTGAGGCTATCTGCCCGAGGCCTGGGCTCTGAGCATCCTCTGCCTGAACCAGCCTCCTTTGCAGGGGAAGTGAATGGCTCTGGAGAAGGGCCCTCTAATCAACAGCCCCCGCACAAATCTGTGGAGCAGGGGAAGAGGAGTTCACCCCCAGAAGGAATGTGGGACAAGAACCCCAAACCCTAATGTCTTTACAGCCACTGATCAAATACTAAGGTACTCATAGGCAGAAAAATTGACTTGGAACAAACAGTGGTTAAGTTCACAGTCCTGGGAACAGCTTAACTGGGTGAATTCCAGCTTGACATCTCACTGTGGGGACCTTGAGCCAGTTATATAACCCCGTTAACCTTCACTTATTTCATGTACTAAATGAAGAGAATAATATTACCTATGTCAGTAACTTACTATAAGGATTAAATTGATATAAAAGGCCAAGCACTAAATAAGGGTTATAACGGTCTGCTCTTGCTGCTACTATTATTACTACCAGTAGCAGTACTAGCTGGTATAATTAATAGAAATCGGAACGAAAGCAGTGTCTGCGGATGCATCTCTGAAATCTCCTCCCATTACAGCATGAAGTAGGGCACCTGAGCCTTGGAAGGCAGCAGGTGAAGCAGTGGTGGAAGTGAGCAAGCAGGATTATGGAGCTGACACCTCTGGACCCTTGTCATGGGCCAGCAGGCCAAATGGTCCCTCCTTTATTTTGCTTGATGAAGTACCCATGATTCCTCTTGCTTTACAGGAGAGGAAACTGAGGCACGGAGGGATTAACTGGCTAGCAAAGTCAGCCAGCCAGGACGTGGCAGAGCCGCACCTTGCAGGGCCTTGCTGCTGTGTTGACAGAATAAGCAGGTTCTCTTTGCTGTGGGGAGCAACTGGGAGCAACTCGGACTAGACTAAGTTACTGGAATTAAGACTTATTCTATGCATCTGCTCTCCCACAATATGGTGCTGAGAAGGGAGAAACAGCTTCTACACAGCTGCCTCCAGTTCAACCAATAAGCAGCAGGACCTGCTCCTGATTGGAGGAGAGCAGCGTACTCGGCGTGTGGGTAGCAGAGTTGGGATTGGTGGAAGAGGACTATAAAGGAGGAGAGAGACAACATGCACCAGGAATATCTATCTGAAGGAACACCTGTGCAGCCCCCGAGAGAGCCGGCCGGCGGTGTGCCGCTCCCCCACGGAAGTGGGGAAAGTGGCTAGGGGGAGCTGCCCTTCCACGGAGGTGGAAGGGACGGTAGCCAACCCGGGAAGAACCAGCAGCAAACCCGGGGAGGGCCGAGCAGACAAAAGAACAGCGCAGGGTCCTGTGTCGTTCCTCCGCGAAGACGGGGAGCGACACTTTGCTCTCTTTGTGTTGTCTTCCCCTGTCATGACATTCGCCCAGCATGACATTCGCCCAGTGCCCAGCGGGCTATCAAGCTTACAGTTGGACCTGGTCTTTTCAAAGAACAAGTGGCACATGTCAATCATGACAAATGATGGAGAAGAAAGCAGAAAAATGCAGACCTCAGACTCTTCCAGATGTACCTGCTTTTGAAACTATATATAGATAAGCTTCCTGGATAAGTAATTGTCACTATGTTGTTAACTAAATGCCTCCCTTCTAGGCCACCTTGAGATTGATTTTTGTTACAAAGGAAGAATGAACTTGCATCAGCCCTTTTCATTCTCCTTTTTTACAATCCAGGAATTTCAAAATCCTAAGGGTATGTTAGGTCATCTGCAGACCTGTCTCTTCGTTCCTCCACCCCGCAGTCTGGCAGTCTGCTCTGAATTTCTATAGGGTGTTTCATTCTGTACCTGCAGCACAGCAGTGACTCAGCCTGTTGAATAACTCCCTTTCCCCCACGATGACATGTCAACTTTATTTCATTGCTGTGGCATGTTTCTTGCCCTGTGGCTGATAAACAAGGCAACCCAGTCAGGAAACCAAAGCAAATTCCCTGCTTCTGAGTCAAAGTGTGAGGCCTGCCAATCCAGACCTGGAAGACATGCTCTTGCACCTTGCTCAATCCTCGGAGGAAGCTGCTGTTCTCAGCCTCAGCCCCTTCCTTCCAGTCCAGCCTTCAGGAAGAGAGGGGAGAAGCCCAGAGTTATTTTTAGCTAAAAAGCAAATCCAGAGGAAAGATCTTTTTTGGTTGCAGTTATCAAAAGAGAGGATGTTTAGATCGCTGATGAGCTGAATGTTTCTGCAAGTTTTTGCTCTGTCTGGTGTTGGTGATACTGGGTTGCAAATTAGGATTCTGCAGCCACATTGCAGCTGGGTTATCAGGTTCAGTCTGTGGTCATGGAGACAGCCCAAGATAATGAATGGAAATAGAAGGGGTTTGAGATTTCGGAGTCTCACTTTTCTTATCTGGAAATGCGGATTTAAAAACTAACTGCTTGTAGAGCTGTTGGGAGAACTGAATGAGCACATTTGTGAAATCCAGGCAGCAAAACAGCCCTGATCTGCATGAAGAAACTCTTCCCATTGACTTGCCTGGAAGCCTCAGCATGGCACTGGTTTCTACCTTAATTGTCTCAAATGACAGCACAGAGATAATTATATGTACCACTAAATCACATTTCCAAAAGCCTGAACTACTGAAAGTGTAAATTAGTACTTTTTATGTGAAAGGCAGAGAGAGAGAGAGAGAGAGAGAGAGAGAGAATCTTCCATCTGCTGGTTCATTCCCCGAATGTTTTCAATAGCCAGGGCTGCCAGCCAAAGCCAAGAGCCTGGAACTTAATCTGGATCTCCCCTATGAGTGTTGTCAGGGACCCAAGTACTTGAGCCATCATCTGCTGCCTCCCAGGGTACATGCTAACAGGAACCTGGAATCAGAAGTGGAACCAGAAGTGAAACCAGGCAGTCAGAAACGGGATGCAGATGTCCCAAGTGTTGTCTTAACTGCTGTTGTTAAATGCTTGGAGCCAAAGTAGTATTATCTATCAAAAAATTACATATGTGTGTGTATGTAAATATCTTTAATATAACTTTGGGACTTTCTTGTAAGAAACTAATCAGATATTACCCTTACGTATGTTAATCATGACATTGTTTATAATATGAAAATTAAAAACAAGCTACAAATTCCACGAGGAGATTGCTTGGGTAAATTAGTATGCATCTATATGGAGTAATAACATCTATGCAGTCATTAAAAATCATGTTGAAGAAGAACATTTACTCTTATGGTAAATGTTCATTTTTGTATCACTAAGTGAAAAATGCAAACAGCAAAAAGGATATACTGTTTGCTATGTTTAATAAATAAGAAATGCACATATACACATGGAAAAAATACTGGAAGGCACATACTAAAATATTAATCACAGTTCTATTTGGTTTGAATCCAAGTGGCTTTTGCTGTCTTCTGTGCTTTTAAAATCTTCTCTGTTTATTTCTTCAGAAGAAAATGATTTTAAAATATGCTGTTAAATGAATCTGGCTTTCAAATGAGCATTGTAGTTTAACCCATAGCCTCTGCCTTTTCAATGCTCTAGAGCTTCTTGGACAAGAACAGATAAACATATGCAGAGAAATAGGCTGAGAGGAAATATCTAGGAATGTTAACAATATTATTAGTGGGTGTGGTAGTTTATTGGACTTCCATATTTTCAAAATTTCTATCATCAACATGTATGACTTTTATAAGGAAGAATGTTTTCAAAATATCTGTTGAGTAAGTATTATTTATTAGGAGTCAGAGAAGGGATATTTAAGTGTCATAGAAAATGCACATAATCCTTCAATTCCATTTTTCCATGAACTTTTGGAAGTGCCCTTGTATTTTCCTAATGCCTTCTGTGAGAGCTGGGTGATGTGGGCTTTCTGTTAGTTCAGTTGATCTTGCAGGTAAATAAACTCACTCAAAGGAAGTCCTTGTTTCTCAGGCTTCTGCTATCTATTTTCAGTAAAAATCTAATTTCTTTTCTTTTCATTCATATTTCAGGGTGATTTTATTTGCAATATCAAGTTATTCAAAGCCCAAGACCTGAGATGCCTGAGGGAAAACTGTTCTCAAGTGCAAGCAGCTGAATCTAAGGCAGGCCTGGAATCTCCCAGGTCTGGCCTCACGGGTCCTCAGCCGGATTCTAGATCAAAGGGGCTTCAGTCGCCGCGTTTGTTTTCGACTCCTTCTCTTCCCTGAGCCTCAGATCCACTGGACGCTTGCCCATCTGTGCTGAGACCAGTGGGAGGTCATTTTGGGAGCAAGGGTGTCTTGAGGTCACATCCAAAGCACTGGTTTCTGTGTCTGGTAAAATAACCAGAACGTTGTGTTTACCAACATGAATGCTGTTTCCAAGGTCAGTGCTGGCTTTTCCAGCAAAAGAAAAATATATATTGAGATGCAGGATAGGGAAAGAAAGCAAATGTAGTTCTTGTTGAAGAACTCTGGATGGTAAACTATTTTATTTAAAATATTTATTTATGATTTATTTGAAAGGCAGAGAGAGGAAGGGAGAAAGAGTGAGAGAGAGAGTCTTTTATTCCCTGGTTCATTCCCCCAAATGGCCACAATAGCCAGGGCTGGGCCAAGCCAAGGCCAGGAGCTTTATCTATGTCTCCTATAGGAGTGGCAGAGGCCCAAGCACTTGGGTCATCTTCCGCTGCGTTCCCAGGTGCATTAGCAGGTAAAGTAAAGCAGATGGGACTCAAACCAGTGCTCATGTGGGATGCCAGCACTGCAGGTGGCAGCTTAACCTGCCGCTGCACAACGCCAGCCCCTGGATGGTAATTTTACAGGTGCCTCTCGGGCTCCTCCTGATTGTACAGCCCAGCAACAGATGGGCTCTCATCCTGGACATGCAAGAGCACATCAGAAAGTTCCTAGAAAAGCAGCATGAAAAGATGAGTTTATTTTTTGTGAAAAAAAAAAAAAAAAGTTCAAATCCAAGCATAGTATTTTCTTAGCACATTTCCCATGAACTTTTTGAAGAGTGCTATAATGGGCAAATGAATTTGGAACCAGACTACATTGTCTCCATCATTTTTTTCTAAGGTCCAGAGTGACTTTTTTTTTTTTTGGACAGGCAGAGTGGACAGTGAGAGAGAGAGACAGAGAGAAAGGTCTTCCTTCCATTGGTTCACCACTCCCCCCACCCCATGGCTGCTGCAGCCGGCGCGCTGCACTGCTCCGAAGGCAGGAGCCAGGTGCTTCTCCTGGTCTCCTATGGGGGTGCAGGGCCCAAGGACCTGGGCCAACCTCCACTGCACTCCTGGGCCACAACAGAGAGCTGGACTGGAAGAGGAGTAACCGGGACAAAATCCGGTGCCCCAACCGGGACTAGAACCCGGGGTGCCAGCACCGCAGGTGGAGGATTAGCCTATTGAGCCGCGGCGCCGGCCCAGAGTGACTTTTATACTGGGAAAAGATTCTCATTGACAAAGGTGAACAATGTTGCCATATTCTTAGAATAAACACCATTGCAGATAAGGAAACACAAAGCAGAGAAACCCAGCAAGGTTTTTCAGTCCATGATGCAACAAGCAACTCAAGTGCTCCAGGCAGAAAGCTGGGAGTCATCCTAGACTTCTCACTCTTCTTCAACTCCGTTTCCAATTCCCAGCCTCACCAAGGGTTTCCCCAGCTCTCCTCTGCGGTTGCCCACTGGTGTCCAGGCCTGGTCCTCAGAGATGTCAAGCCAGTCCTCTGTCTCCCTGTGCAAAATGCTCCCAGCATAATCTTTGGGGAATGCAAACCTAGCTACTTCATTCCCTCTTATGTCCTTTCCTTTCCAGGACAAAACTCAAGCTCCTTGATGTGACATTTGGGAACCTTTGTTGTTGAATTTCTCTAGCCATCTCTACCTCTCCCACCTCCCTCCTCAAGTTCAGCAACACCTGGACTTCCTGTCGCTCCCTGTATGGGGCTGGGTTCCAAAATTGCAGGGCCGAGTGAAAAATGAAATTCCAGGGCCCTTGTTCAAAACACAGTTTTGGAGGGCTGGCGCTGTGGCACAGCAAGTTAAGCCACCACTTAACATTGGCATCCCACACCAGAGTGCTGGCTTGAGTCCTGACTGCTCTGCTTCTGATCCAGCTTCCTGCTAATGCATCAGAGAAAGAAGTGAAAGATGTTCCAAATGCGAGTGCCCCTGCCACCCAAGTGGGAGACCTGGATGGAGTTTCTGTCCCCTGGCTTCAGCCTAGTCCAGCCCTGTCTGTTGTGGTCATTTGGGGAGTGAATCAGTGGATGGAAGATCTCTCGACGATCTCCCCCCATCTGTAACTCTGCCTTTCAAATAAATAAATGGCTAAGAAAAATCACAACAGAAATTCAAAGACAAAATTAAGAATTTCAAAAGGATGACTGCAATGCATTAAACCCTGAGCACAGGGTCCTGGTGAATGCCCAGGTCCCAGGCCTGTGAAGGGGGCCTTGGCCATGAGAGTTTTCTTTTTCCCTGTGCTGCTTTGCCTTGAACACCCACTTTGACTCTCCTCACTCTACCTCATCCTTAAGATGAGCACAAGCTCAGGGCCAGCTCTGTGATATAGCAGGTTAAGCCTCTGCCTGGGGTGCTAGCATACCAAACAGGCACTGGTTCTGATCCATCTCCCTGCTAATGCGCCTGGGAAAGCAGCAGAGGATGATCCAAGTCTTTGGGCCCCTGCACCCACGTGGGAGACCAGGAAGAAGCTCCTGGCTCCTGGGTTGTATCAGCCCAGCCACGGCCATTTCTAGAGTGAACCAGCAGATGGAAGATCTTTCTCTCTGTAACGCTGCCTTCAAATAAATTTTTTTTAAAAAAGTCTTTAAAAAAAAAACCTCACTAGCTCAGAAATTAGTGCCAAACAGTCTTCCCAAGCTTCCCTCCCCAGGACCCTAGCGGTGCTGGGTCGTCCTCTGTGCTCCCTCTAGAACAGGGACTCCCAAATGCTGAGTCGCCAACCACCTCCTGCATAAGCATCGGAAGTGGCTGTGAAGAATCTGACTCTCGGGGGCGGGGCCTAGGAATGGGCCCCTCTCACGGTTCATAATTAGAGCGTTCTGAGAGTGTGCGCGGCCTCGACGCAGCCTGTGTACACCTCCTCGCTCGCCTTAGCGCGCAGCACAATGCCAGCCTGCGTGTTGATGACTGCTGTGGGATCACGCTAACCTTTCCCAACTTCAGGTTTTGCACCTGGCTTCTCAATGACACACGTGAGTTCTCCGAGCCACTTCCCTGTTACTTCCAGGGTTCATGCATCGGGGCATAGCCAGTGTAGACCCTGGGCCCCCCAGGGTGACCCCTGGCGTTGACACCGCCTGGATGGAGCCCCCCAGCCAGTGTGTGGTGTATCCTTGGCTTCCATTATGCCAAACCCCCAAAGAGGAGACTGTGAGCTGTGCCTTGGCGTCCTGCAAAGCCCCAGAAGGGAGGCTAGAATGAGGCCATCTCCACAGCTGTACGCGTGAGAGAGCATCTCATTTTCTCTGGTTGAGAGCCCTTGTATGAGTCTCCAGGCAGGCTGCAGGCCAAGAAGACCGCAAACAGCACAGCGAGGCCCCACACCACGAGCGTTTCCAAAGCTGTCTTCTCCTTTAACAGAGCAGTGACATCAGGAAATGAGCTACAAACCCAGGGGGCCTGGAACTGGCTCTGGTCAGGCCCAGACTGAGAGGCAGCAGCAGGCTGGGCTGTGGCTGTGTTCACCCAAGTCCCGGCCCTGGGGGTGGAGAGCATTGACAAGCGAAGCCCAAGGAAGAGTGTCCCTGCCCCGGCCAGCCCTGGGCAGGCAGAGCAGGACCCGTGATGATGGAAGTGTGAGCAGGTGACAGACCTGCTCCTGCCCCAGGCCCCAGTGCCAGGCACTGGGCATTTCTTGGCATGGAAGAAAGAGGCCACCTGAGGATGGCGAATGGGCACAGTTGGCCTGAAATCTTCAGCCACCCCTCATGCGTGTTTTTGCTGGTGGGCAGTAGATGTGACAGGTGCAACCGGGTGAGCACTCATTCAGCACCAAGTGCATTGGCCCCACTGGGCTCACCTTTGACTCAGCTCAGGGGTCTTACATGGTCACACTCTCAAGATCACCCTATAGCCCTCATTGATCAATGAGCCACCCCGGGAGCAGGCCACCTCCCACTCTTGGATCTCCTCACTGCTCGCCTGCAGGGCATCTGGGGTCCCCGAGGTGCTGGCCTCTCCGGTCCCTGTGTAGGGGTGTACAGACCTAGAACGAGCATCTAAAACTAGAGAACTGATTCACAACCACTTGGGCCTCCCCCTCCTGTTTTGATTGGATGCAAAGTATTTAGTTTTGTTTTAAAAACTTTTTTGGGGCTGGTGCTGTGGCTCAATAGGCTAATCCTCCGCCTTGCGGCGCCAGCACACCAGGTTCTAGTCCCGGTCGGGGCGCCAGATTCTGTCCCGGTTGCTCCTCTTCCAGACCAGCTCTCTGCTGTGGCCCAGGAGTACAGTGGAGGATGGCCCAGGTGCTTGGGCCCTGCACCCGCATGGGAGACCAGGAGAAGCACCTGGCTCCTGCCTTCTGATCAGCGCGATGCGCTGGCTGCAGCACGCTGGCCGCGGCAGCCATTGGAGGGTGAACCAACTGCAAAAGGAAGACCTTTCTCTCTGTCTCTCTCTCTCACTGTCCACTCTGCCTGTCAAAAAAAAAAAAAAAAAAAAAAAGGTAAAAACTTTTTCGGTTTATTTTATGGGTGTTGTTTCAAAGATTAGCTCTTTCTAATTAGGGTCATTGTCAGGTTTGGATCCCATGCCAGCTGAACAAGGCAACGTTTCCAGGCCTCAAGGAAGCTGGTACAGGGAGGAGAGCCCTGCAAATCCCTTGGCATGAAGGGAGACAGGTCACCTCACGTGGCGTTAAGCCACTGTCTGGGAGCCAGTTGTCTGGTGGTCTGTGCGTGGCTGCCTGGGCAAGTAGACGTCTCACAGATCACGAGGTCGTTGGGGCCACTTACATATCCAGTGCTTCAGCTGCACACAGCTTCTCACTATTCCCCCAGATTTTCCTCAGTTCCAACCATCGTCACCCAATAATACTAGCTGGTAATTTACTGAGTGCTTGCTATGAGCAAGGCAGGGTGTGGAGACTGACAGAGTCTCGTTATATCCCAGAATAATCTTGAAGTATCACAGTTCTTAGCCGCATTTGTGGAGGGGTTAAAGGGTTGCCCAGGACACTAGAGCCACAGGGAACCTGGTCCCCTGACAGTGGTATGGAGTCTATGGGCCCCTTCCCTTGGATGGCCTCCCAAATTAGCAGGTGGGGCATTCAGTTCTCTGCCTCCAAACTGCTCTCTTCCTTAGTTCTCTGTTGCATTTGTGTCCATCTGTGGGATCATTTTAAAAAAATGTAGATCCGGGCCGGAGCTGTGGCATAGCAGGTAAAGTCACTGCCTGCAGTGCCGGCATCCCATATGGGTGCTGGTTGAGTCCCGGCTGCTCCCCTTCCAACCTAGCTCTCTGCTATGGCCTGGAAAAGCACTAGAAGGCCCTTGCACCCATGTGGGAGACCTGGAAGAGGCTCCTGGTTCCTGGCTTCAGATCAGCCCAGCTCTGGCCATTGTGGCCACTTGGGGAATGAACCACTGGATGGAAGACCTCTCTCTCTCTCTCTCCTCTGCCTTTCTGTAACTTTGCCTTTCAAATAAGTAAATATTTTTTAAAAATGCATATATATGTATATTTTGTCTTTGTCCCCAGTTCTTGGTGCTGAGCTCCCAAAGCTCTTAGAATTTCCTAGGTGATTGGTGAGTCTTTTGTTTTTCATGATCAGCCTCTCTGGACCAGATCTGAGTTGAAGTCAATGATGACTTAGAAGAGGATTGTAGAGGAACCAACCGAGTGAGGTATTGGAATTTCCAGCCCCAGCCACCTCCAGGGAGGGGAGCAGGGCTGTGGATTAAGCTCAGTCAATGACCAGTGATTCAGTCAATGATGCCTACATAAAAACAAAAACAAACCCTAAACAGTGGAAGTAGGGAGGCTCCCGGGCTGGTGAATGCTGGGAGAGAGGTACATTGCCCCCCGTCCACCCCCCTACACACACTCCCACTCCATCAAGGCAGAGGCGCCTGCTTTCAGGATCCTTCCAGACCTGTCCTAAGTGCCTCCACCTCTGGCTGTTCATTTGCATCCATAATAATAAACTGTAAGAGTAAGTATAGCATGTTCCCAAGTTCTGTGGGCCATTACAGTGAATTATCAAAACTGAGACCGTCTTGAATTTGTGGTTGGCTGTGCAGTAGAGGTAGCTTGGTCTTAATCTATTGAAGCTGCTATAACAAAATACCATAGACTGGGTAATGTATAGACAGTGCAGTTTTATTTCTCATCATGCTGGAAGCTGACAATTAAACAGTTGAGGCACCAGTAGATCTGCTGTCTGATGGGGGCCCATCTCTCATAGAGGGCACCTTCTATGTGTCCTCTTGTTGCTGAGAGGCCAGTGAGCTCCCTTGGTCTGTTATCAAGTCTCTAATCCCACTCTTGAGGGCTACACCCACATAATTTAGTCACCAAAGTCCCACCTGCTAATATTATTGCAGTCAGGATTAGGCTTCAACCTGTAAATTTTGGGAAACACAAGCATTTAGACCATAGCACTGGGAGACTCTATTTGTGACTGATGTCAGAAGTGCTGGTAGACTTGTTGGACTGAGTTCTTATCCCACAAGATCTGGGCTAACTCTGGGTACTTGGTGTCAGAATTTTATATTGGAGGCCCGTGCTGTGGCTCAGAGGGTTAAAGCTGTGGTCTGCAGTATCAGTATGCCATACGGGCACTAATTCTAGTCCTGGGTGCTTCTTTTCTGATCCAGCTCTCTGCTGATGGCCTGGGAAAGCAGCAGTGGATCTCCCAAGTGTTTGGGCCTCTGCACCCACGTGGGAGACCTGGAAGAAGCTCCTGGCTCCTGCCTCCTGGCTCCTGGCTTCAGTCTGGCCCAGCCCCAGTCATCGCAGACTTTTGGGGAATGAACCAGCAAATGAAAGACATCTCTCTCTCTCTCTCTCTCTCTCTCTCTCCCTCCCTCTCTCCCTCTCTCCCTCTCTCCCTCTCTCCCTCTCTCCCTGCCTTTCGAAGAAAATGAAAATAAATTAAAAATCTAAAAAAAAAAAAAGAATTCTACCTGCCACAGCTGTGTCAAGACAATCCAACCTCTAAACCTGCATAGGTTCTGCCTCTGTGTTCCCTTGGTTGATCATCCACATCTTCTAGTTCTATCATCACTACTTAATACAACACTTTAATCAACTTTTGCAAGAACCACAATAATATTATTAAAAAAAGAAAGAGAATTTTATATTGTAGGACACATTGTGGTGTCAGAGAATCTAAGAACTGATTGGTGGTTGCTGGGATAACCAGCATACTAGTCCACTGAGCTGTGAACTTGGAGGTCTAGGTCTTGGCTAGGGCTGGAGTCACAGGGTCAAGAGCATGGGGAGTCAGTATAGTATCTGATGTGGTACCTGTGCCCCTTCATCTGCACCTTCAGGCTCTCAACTTCCGGGTTATCTCCCCAAACCTCATCTTCAGTTGAGTTAATGAAACAGATGTCCCCTGGATTGGTTACATAAGTGGGGTCTTCCCGGGATGGGTGCTGGTAAGTTTCAGGGCACAACCCTAGGGTTGCATTGATAGTCAGTGAGTATATACTAAGACACTGTCTTCTACCTTATTGCCTTTCAACTTTACAACCAGCCCGTCCCTGTTTAATGCTACAATTCTATGGTTCTAACCAAAATCAAGTCCCCATGAAACCCGAAGACACATATGCAAATAGTTTCCAGCTCTCGGTTGCCTCTTTCCACACGCCAAAGACTGAATGTTTCTGCCCATAAAGCAGTGTGGTTGGTCCAGGGTTTTTTTCTCCTACTGAGGGTTGTGCACCCCAGGCCTGTTTCTCAAACCCTCTTGCTGCTGAAGATGCAGAGAGCTGAAAGCATTTGGAGAGAAAGATGTTTCCAGAAAGGCCCCGAGTGCTGTCAGCGGCTTCCATGGCAGGGGTGCTGATTCACCGGGGTGGAGGCAGCTGGTCCTGGAGCAGGGAGGCCGGCTGGGTATCCGTCATCAGCTCCCTCCCCTCCCGGAAGCAACTTCTTCAAAAGGGTCTGCAGCAGCAGTGGCAGAAAGGAGGCTGGGAGCCTCTGGGGCTGCTGGAAGGTGGAGGGAGGAGGGGAGGGGGCGAAGAGGAGGCCTGGAGGGCTGCCACCAGAGCGAGGCTGGTGACAGGAGGAATCTATCAATCTCGCATGCAGAGCCAAATATGGTGCTGGGGCTCAATAGGTAATAAACAATGGTCACATTGCAGCCTTGCCAAGGAGAGACATTACAGATGAGGGCAGTGCGGGCCTGACGTCACCGTACCACCATACGCAGTCGTCCCTGTGTGCAGTCTGGTTGCGCCCCTCAGCTAAGCCACCTCACCCCAGGTGCAGGCAGCCCAGCTTGTCCTTATGAAGCCCGATGTGCATTTTTCTTGATGTGCTCAAAGCGAGAAGGGGGACATCGAGTCCTGGTTATCACGTTGAGTTGTCCTTGGCAGTGGCCATGGTCCAGAGGGCTCTAGAGGACTGGTGTGGAGTGAGCCCCTGTCTCACTGTCTGCACTTGCTGTCTGCAACCTTATCCCCACACAGGCTGACCCTTCGTGGCAATGAGAGCAGATGTTGTTACTGGAAATGGCCTGAACACGTACACTTTTTAAGACTAAATGGCTTAAGCACACATGATTAAAATCTGAGTTTTAGCCACGCTGGCATAGCTGTTTGTAGAGCGCTGGGGAACACACAAACACTTAAGGCTGGCCCCTTTGCACAAGGACCTGACGACAGCTGGGCTGGAGAGACAGGCACACAACAGAAATCTGAGAGTGAACCAGGCAGATACTTCCCATCCGTGTGGCCATTGAGGACAGCGGGAGAGTCATAGTGGTGTCTTCCTGCATACAAGATCCAGGCACTGACTTCCTGAACAAGGTGGGACCGACTCCTGTCTCCTGTGCCTGTGTGTGTTTTTGGGCTTTTCTCAGTGAGATTTATCTGGAGCTCATGTCTCGTATGGCCACAAGAGAAAAGAGCAGTGAGAAAGGGAGCAGCAAGTGGTGGTGAGAAGAGCCCAAGACTCTGAGCCAGAAGACCTGATTGGGGTCCCAGCTACCCCCATCACCAGCTCTGAGACCTCCAAGAGATCAATGAACTCACTGAACTTCAGTTTGCTCAGCCCTAAAAGGGGCTAATCCCGCCCACTCAACAGGGTCTTTGTGAGAATCAGAAATAATTCTCAGAAGGGCCCAGCGTGGCAGGTTCTCAAGGAACTGCAGCTGCTCTTGAAGTAAATATGGGGGGGCTAGCGCCGTGGCTCAGCAGGTTAAAGCTCCGGTCTGCAGTGCTGGCATCCCATATGGGTGCCGGTTCAAGTGCAGCTACTCCACTTCCTATCCAGCTCTCTGCTATGGCCTGGGAAAGCAGTAGAAGATGGCCCAAGTCCTTGGGCCCCTGCACCCGTGTGGGAGACCCGGAAGAAGCTCCTGGCTCCTGGCTTTGGATCAGCACAGCTCTGGCCATTGCGGCCATCTGGGGAATGAACCAGTGGATGGAAGACCTCTCTCTCTCTCTTGCTCTGTGTGTGTGTGTGTGTGTCTGCCTCTCTGTAATTCTGCCTTTCAAATAAATAAATAAATATTAAAAAGAAAGAAATATGGGGTCTTCCAAACATAGACGAGCAACTGCCTGTAGGCTGTTGATAGCTAGGAAGTCCCCTTCCTCCTGCTGTCCATTCTTGTGGTTCACTGCTCTTTGGGATGGGCTGTGGTTTTAAAAATGCAAATAGCTCCCACTGAACAGAATAGGCTTTCTGAGAAAGCCAGTGGGCATCCTGTTCTGAGGAACACCGACACTGTGTGGACACTATAACGCCTGCACCTGCCTCCAGCACTGAGCAGGGAGGTAGACACAGCTGTGACTGGGGATTACAGGCCGCACCGTTGAGATGAGAATGCATCACTTTCCTGACAGTCATCCTCAAGGAAAACACACTTCAGGTTTTTAGAAAGAACCTCACCAGGGTTTCAGCCGCCTGTGGTGGGAGTGGCCAAGACACAGCTCCTGGGCGGCTCCCTGCAAAGTGGCAAGCAAGACAATGTGGCGCCACACTTGTGCAGGGAAGGCTGGTCATCAGATGCACTTGACATCAACTGGGCATGTTGGTTTGACCCATTCCTCTTTCTCCTCTATGGTCACTGTGCCTGGGCAGTGAGACGCCCGCATGCATTGGGTTCATATTGTCTGGCATGGACAACTCAGACCCTTTGTCCCAGAAGAATATCTGCAAGGCCATCAGCCTAAGCTTTAAATGTCATGGAGGGATAATGTGCCGGCGTTATAATTCTGACAGGCCCAGCCCGTGAGGAGAGTGAAATAAAAATGGGAAAGGAATTAGGACATCTGAAAAGATAGGCAAGCCATTACCAACACAAGAGTGGGATTAAGCTTAAAATCCTACTTATTAGTTCCACTTGTAAGTTTTCAATTCGTATTTCTCCCACAATGAAGCTCCATTAGAATAGATTAAATAAATAAATAAAGAGTAATGGAAGAATCTGACGATTGTCATCTATCACCCATAAAGAGCCACATTTCTACTCTGTGGCAACAAAATCAGTGATCTAAATATTAACAAGTGGAGCACATTATAAACACTTAGTTATATATTATTATCGCCATAAAGTCATTATAACAGAAATAAAAACTGTTTTTTATTTTAACTATTAATATTCATCAAATGTTAATGAAAATACCTAACAAATAATTATGAAAAACACATTGCTTAAGTAATAAAGATGAAAGAGATGATAATCGTTGTGAATATTTAATCTGCAAAATAAAGAACATACCATTAATAAGACTTAATTATGTCATTAAATATTTAATTTTACTTTCGCTACTAAATTTTGTTTGCATTCTGCATATTTTAAATGTGAAAAGCTTCTTAACAAGATTTGTAGTTTCAGCAACGTCAAATGCCAGACCATTTAAGCTTGACTTACTGTCTTCATCAAATTGGTCAAACAGCATTTTATTTATCATTAAGTGAAATGAACAATCCTCTTTACAGTTTACTACAGGGGAGTTTAATAATTGATTCTAGGTTATACCCACAGAAATAATGCTTTCTAACAGTGAAGAAAAAGAATTGCTTTCCTTTTCCATTTTGTTTTTCAGTATCACACAATTAATTTACCATGTTTCCTACTGCCTGCATAGGAGACGACAGCTATGATTCAGCCTTTACACCTCGCTGTGGGATAGGTCCTCTGCCTTTCACAGAGATCTGCTCAGTTCCTCACAGTTGACTGCCATCACTTTTAACTCCTGCTTCTGGAACAATCTCGTTTGCATACACGTAAGATCACAGACAGGACATTGTTTCCTGGAACTGGTGAGTAGCAATGGAAAGTAGCCACAAATCTCTCAGCCTCACCTTGGCACAAAATCAGAGCATCGGTCCCAAGTGCCAGGGCAGGGCCTGATCATGCCGCCGACTGGGCACAGCCAGATGCACACTCAGTACCAGCACCCCTTGTAGTGTCCATAAGAACTCATGCTGTGCCCCTCGGCTTACTCCGCATTCAGTGACATCACGTGAGTAGCTGGGAATCAGCCATGGAAGTATTTACACCAAGGAAATGGGCCAACGCCACAAATCAGGGCTCCATCCTAACGTCAGTGGATGCGCCTCTCCCAGCACAGCGCTGCACACACGCGCTGGGGCCAGGACGTGATGCCCATCTCTCTCTCACCGTGTAGTTCTGTGCCCTTTTACACTACTTGGACCCCTGATAACCAAAAACTTGGTGGCAGGAATGAGAACACTGTGTGTGAGGGGTGCCCGGGATGCCTGCATTCCGCACGAGGGTACCAGCTCTGCTCTCAATTCCAGATTCCTGCTCATGCACAGCCTGGGGGCCATCTCGTGATGCTTTCAAATCATCAGGTCCCTTTCACCCATGTGGGAGACCTGGATGAAGTTCCAGGCTCCTGTTGTGGGCCTTTGGGGAATAAACCAGTGGGTGGTAGCTCTCTCTTTTTGTCAGTCTCTCATTGTCTCTGTCTTTGAAATTAAAAAAAAAATTATCTGGCTTCACACATCTCTGTACTGTACAACAGTGACTCCTCTAGCCTCTGTGTCCACATACATCCTGATTGGCTCATCTCCCTGATTGGCAGCGGAGGCAGTGGAACCCGTGGCTTATCTTTTGCAGACTCAAATAGAATGAGTTCCTGGCTTGGAGCAGACAGTGAGTCCTAGTGCAGCTGCTGCTCAG